GTTAACGTAGGTTACAGATCAAACGGTTGGCAGACGGTAGTTGTACTATCACGGTAAATGAAATGAGTAAGTATTTCGGCAGCATTCCATCGCTGAGTGTTCTAGCTTTGCTGCGAAAGCTAGGAGCAAACGAACTCACCCTTCGGGCTTTTCACACGACCGCCCGAAATACCCGCTTAAGGAAAACCCTTTTTCTCTCTCTCTCTCTCTCCCTATTAAATTGTTATTTAAATCGTTGCATTAATTAAATAGTTTTCATTAAAGGTTGATTTTTATTCTTTTGTCCTCTCCGAAATTTGTTGTGTTTCAAGTAAAAAAATATATAAGTATGTATAAAGGGCCGGAAATCACATTCAAGTTTGCAAAATGGCCGCCAGACGGCGAAATTGCAATAGTAAAGTTGTTTGCGCCCATCCTTATCCAAAACGCCTTTCTTACGTGGTTCAAGCTTTACTTTGTAAATCCGTCAGACGGTCCTTAACCACTACCCTTCTGGCGGATGTGAAGCCTGAATCCGAAAAAGCGCACTCATTCGAACGCTCTAGAACCATAAAGTTTAGTTTATTGCCCTTGCAACGTTTGATTCCAAATCCTGTGAAGAAACTTGCAAGTGTTCTAAGAAAATTGATACAGTCCAATCCAGTGAAATCAACAGTTCAGCATCAACGACAACCGACCGCAAATATTGGGTTAAAAGGGTTGCGAGCGCGCACATTTTGGTCCTTCGAGCCGGAGTCAAACGTCCATTGAAGTGCGTCTAACCGAACCATCCCAGTTTCATCGAAGCAACATAGTGGTTCTACAATCAGAGTGAGTCAATCCTTCTTTATTATTTTCTTACTATTTCAAATCAGCTTTCCTTGCGGCAATTGCAAACTCTTCGTGTCACGTGTTTTTATTCAAATTCAAGTCTAACACGTGGTCCTAAGAATTATCTCTATCATCTTATATCTAAAACATCTATTCTGTATTTTATTATTTGATCGATAAATTACTTTATTCGGAATATGTGCCGTTGGCGGCTAAAAACCGTTTTTAAAGTCTATTTCGTTTTGGTAACGTTCGTTTTCGCTTTAGTAACTCCACGTGGCCATGGATAGTCTCAGTCACAAACGAGGCGTTATTAAGGGAAAATTAACCCGATTTATTTCATTTCTGAGGAAAATCGAAGAAGGCCATCAAAATCCCGAGTTAATCGTTAGTCCCATTCAATCTACGCAATTACAAGCACAATTTGACACTGCACTGAAATATTTAGCAGAATTTGAAGAACTACATTTTCAAATCATCGAAGTCAGCAAGGATTGGGATAATGATAATAGCAATTTGCATGTTTCGAAGAACAATATTTTGAGGCTATTTCACGGGCTGAGGTTTTAAAGAGTAAACTTGCAGCTCTTTCGGAATCAAGTTCTGCCCCAAGTGCACAATCAGTACAATCGAACAGCAATTCATTTATTAGGTTGCCCACAATCAATTTGCTAAAATTCCACGGGGATCTTGATAACTGGATGGAGTTTCGAGTAACATTCTCAAACTTAATTCATGAAAATTATGAAATCACCAACATTCAAAAGCTGCATTATCTGAAAGCTTCACTTTTCGGCGAAGCAGCAGAAATTATCAAATCTCTGGAATTTACGAGCAACAATTATATCATAGCCTTCAATGCAATATGTGAGAGGTATAATAATCCGCGAATGTTGGTGCATAATCACGTTAAATCAATTCTTGATCTCGAAGCTTCAACCAAGGAATCAGCATCCAAACTACGAAAAATCAATGACAGCCTCTTCAAGCATGTTTCAGCGCTCAAATCGCTAGCTACAGAAGCTGAGCTTCTGGATGCTATTTTAATTCATATCGTTTCAAATAAGCTCGACCCTACAACATTTCGTGGGTGGGAATCATTCAAAAACACTTTGGGAACGCATATCCCCTCTTTAAACCAGTTTAAGGAATTTATTAAAAATT